TATATACACCCATTTTTCAATTTTTCACACCAAACAACACTGAATGGTTGAGAATGCGTCAAAAACCTCAATTCAAGAGAAAAAAATGAAAAAGAATTGTCTAATTGCTGTATATGGAGAGAAAATGCTCAAGGTCGGCCTATAGCAAATGTGCACAAACTACTGCAGACTACCTATATACACTAACTAGTGCACATACAATGTGCAGTAAGCAGTTGAAAATTACACTTTTCACATGAGCAGCTTCAACTACCTGTTCCTACTGATAATGGGGAGGGTTACCCAGGCTAGACACTGGGGTTACCCAGCTTCGGTTTGTAACTGTGGTGTTTGTGCCAACTCGTCAAACTTACGCTAGGTCATTCCCATTATACCCTGGTAGAAAGATGGCCAAGGCTGCAATGAAGACCAGCAGCCCAGAACAAAAGGTCAGGCGGAGGCAGACGAGTGAGAAGAAGGAAGAGGCAGGGTCCAAGGAGGACACACCCCCAGCAGATGACACGGACAAAGAAAAGAACAAAGAAGACTCACCTAACCTAGCTGAACTTTCTGGTCCACCCGACAGGCCGTGAGTTTGTTGTTTCTGGGCGCAACTTAATATAGTCTGAGCATCATTTTCTGTTTGCCCACATCTGCCTGAACAGCGTCTAATGTTTGCAAATTTTGTCTGACATTATAATTACACAGTGTGCCAAAGGCTGTGCAATGCCAGGCATTGTCATCATTTTTAATACAAAAGTGTACAAGATCCTTAACCCCATCCCTCTAGTACACGCCTAGTACATGTACACTAGTGAAAATGAGGAAAAAGATTGATGACCCCTCAGGGTTCTGAGCCTCGTGCACAGCACTCTGCACCTTTGTAGAATCCTTGGTTTTACAAGGTAGACATCTGAAAGTTTCAAAACCGAAACTCCTAAAATTCCATTATGTGCCTTCATGGTGTGTATATCTTCATTTCACTCAGCATCCACACTGATCAGAGCTCTCTGCTGAGTAACGCCAGCGGTTTCAATAACTACCGAGGATTCCTCAATCTCTGCATAGTTCTTTTGGTAAGACGTCTCTCCAATGCTTTTCTACCAGAGTGGTGTAATTTCAACCTGAGGAGGGTCTAGTTTACTGCTGAACAAGCTACATGAAAATGGGACTACATATTTCAGGGACTTCCTGTTGCATAATGCAGATGAGTAGAGTTTGTACTCACAATTAGTGATGTAGTGCTTTTTGAGGACCTAGTTCAGGGCCAAATATTGAAGTGGTAAGAAGGGAACAAAGCTGAAGAACATGGGCACTGGACGGTAAATGCACTAAGGTATTAGATGACAAAATAAATTCAAGTTCCTAGTTTTGTAGATTTGTAAAGATCAAGGGTTGAGGAGAAAAATACTGGGCTCATTACCTTTTGAGTAGTTTTATCAGGAAAACGTACTTTTCATGAAACAGTGATGGTCTGAAGTCATTTTATTTTGTGATCTAAGATTTGTAATCTGTTTTCTAGAGCAAGGTCTAGGTCTTCGCTCCAGTGGAAATACGCAGAGATAGGAAGACAATAGACCTATAAGCCATAGCTCTGGAAGGCCATTCGGGACACAGCCTTACCTTTACCCTCTTGATGCCCATCTTCTTCAGCCATCTTCCCTCCAAACCAGTTCTTCGTATAGATTTGGCAGGGAGCTTTGTACTCGAAAAGAACTGGAGTAAAACAGCGCTCACAACCACTGTCAAGCACCTTTGTGGTTTTGGCTCTTAGGACACATCAAAAAGGAAACTTGACATTCGTTGTGGTACTGGAGCCTGTGATCTGATAATTTATTTCAAGGGGTTTGCCGGATCTTTTTCTTCAGAGAACAGCTGTTAGCAATGGATGATCACAGAAAGAAGAGAGGGGAGCCTACCCTTTTATTGACAGTTACATGTGCCCCATCGGTTACTCTCCCATGCAGTAGTTTTTATTCAAAAGGTTTATAGAGTACCGAAGCGTGACGTCACTGTGAACCAGAAAGTGCAGTGCAAACAAATGGAGTACGCCCGCGTGTTGGTTCACGCGTTGGTTCTCGCGCTAATGCCTTTTATACACTAATTGTGCGCGTGACGTATTCACTTTGGTACTTTATTACATGTATACTGTATTTCATTTTCTAATTTTTGTGTTTTGTTACTGTTTGCAGGCAATGTCGAGTGGACGCCTCGTACTTGAGAATCTGATCAAGTGAGAAATGAATCCTTTTTTTGTCAAGTAAAAAAAAAAAGTTCCTTAACTACTGCAGTAAGGTACCGAAAGCACTCATCCAATGTGTATCATGCAGGCTGCAGATACTGAAATGTCGTACCATTCTGAAAATACAAGTGCAGATTTCCAGTGGACCCGCCCCCTTCACATCACAGATGTTTAGTCACTTCATATCCCTTCTTGTCGTCTAGATATGGTATCTTAGTGGACCCTATTTCCATGCTGAAGATTTTCCTGCGGAACCCTTACAGCTTGCCGTCTGGTACCTTGGCTGCATGTAAGCTATTTTGCTTGCAGTTGTCGTATTGGTATTTAGTATCTCTTAAAACCTACCCTCTCTGTGCATACCTCATGAGAGCACTCTCTCATTGCCATTATACGGGTGATTCACAATATGTGCGCCACCAAGAGTTTGCAACGCATTGGCCAATTCAGAACGCGCAAATTTGTCGACCCTTTCCAAACACACAATAGGTCGACAAATTCCGCGCATTGTGATTGGCCAACGCGTTGCAAACTCTTGGTGGCGCACTATTGTGAAACGGCCGTATTCGCAGCTTTTCTTCAACTGACGCAGAGTGGTTATAAAGTAGATAGAAAAGTATACATAATATTTACTCCAGTGATTGTTGCGATCACATTTGCAGTTCCTCTGCTTAGTGTGACATGTCTAACGTGGACCATGCCCTCTCCACACATATTGGTTTTAACCGTAACCTGTGTAAGTCTTAACTCAGGGAACCAGGTACCCCAAGAACCAACTGTTGCGTCAGGCATGCACTTCCGTTTTCATCGGTTCCATGCCTGGACCTGACCATTTGCTTATGAAATCAGCAGATATTACCTTAAGTCAGTTGTCATAAAGTGGTTTCTTGCAAAGTTCTGCTCATTAAGTCCACATACTCAGTTGTTTCGGGAAATTTTCCTGAAGGTTGCTTGAATCAGAGCACCAACAAGTAACAACAAAGAGAGAGTAATGTGACCAGAAAGTGCTAGTTTTCTATTTCTCATACTATGCTGACGACAAGGAATGTTTATCTTTATTAACTCTAGTGATCAACGTCTTCGTTGTCATCCAGTTTGGCATAGAGAAGATTGTAGCTAAGGTGAGCTACTCTGAATGCTTTCCTTTTATGTGTAGGGCCCAGCGTTATTTTTCTGCATAAGCAGGTAGCTGAAAACTTGCTTACTTTGAGAATGTATCATTGTTTGAACCATTTCCGCTGCCGTTTCATGCCTCAAGTAATCTGATTAGAAGCAGTGTTGTAATAGGGACCGCTTAAGACCAGCACAAGACCATCACAAGACCTCTGGTCTGAATTCAAGTCACAAACTATTTAAATGAACAGTGACAAAAGCATTCCTTTGTCACTGTCCACCCTGTTGTTTGTGACTGGTCTTGTGCCTGGACTTGTGAATCATCTTGTTAATGGTTGTGTGTCTGGTCTTGTGATGGCCTTGACCATATCGCTGATGTGAAGCCTAATTTTGAAATATTTTCATTCGGTTCCAAAAGTAAATGTTTGACTGAGACGAAGCCACAACCCGTTGCAAAGCTGGGATTCAAGAAAGTGACAATCTCTTCAGCCATATTTTTTTTTCTCAGCAGCTCTGCAAATGCTCTGCTCGCAAGAAGAAGAGACAGATATCATATTCAGACTTGATAAATCTCGTCATTAGAATATCCTCAAGGATATTGTATCATATTTGTGACTCATAAATTTTACTCATTTCACTCCTTCTATTGTGGCGGTTCATAAAGTCAAAAATTGAAGGGAGGTCAATTTTGGGGTTTTTATGATATTTGGAAAGAGTCTAGTTAATTCCAAATTTTTAGCAGGATCAAATATTTAAAAACATTCATTTTTATCAGCAATTTTGACCATCGCATCATTCGTGCCTTGTCAGAAATGTTGAAACAATTGTTTGCCCTAATTGTTAGATGTATATTCGAAAGCTCTCTTTCTGCTGAAATCAAAGTACCCATACCTCATTTTACAAAAATTCTGACTTTCAGTTCATGTTGTGGTGATGGGTTGCATTTACTCCTTGTCTGGTGTGATCACAATATGACCTCCATTTTTCTCTCTCTCTCTCCCTGCAGGGCCTAATAGGAGAGACAGCTGCCAAGTTCTTGACATTTGTCAACTTGGCCACGCTCATCATTTTCCCAGCTGTGGTCATCACTATTGTCCGCCCCGTGCCCTGTGAGGAGTCCGCCACTCATATTTATTGCAATAAATGTTCTGACAAATAGGAATTCAATCTTGCTGTCATTAAGAAACACTTTGTGAGCACATGCATTTGTGTATTTTTTCCCACGTCTTTTATATAATTTGAAGATGCAAATGATTATTTATTTGTCAAGGGCAAATTTCATGTAAAATTGTTTAAATGCACCGGTACAGTAAAGACATTAGACGACTATATCATATGAAGCAAGATATGGGACGCAGAGCCCCCCCCCCACTTTTGTGTTGGTCATTGTTTGATCTGAATCTCAGGAATTCTTTACAGACTTCAAGGGGGGATTTGTTAGGTAACAATAGTCTAGAGTGTGTATAGGGATTGGACAGGTAAGGGGGGGTACCCCTCTGTCCCATATCTTGCTGGGTATAGACTATCTACTTGAGCCAAAGACTCACAAAAGGTGCCTCAGACAGCTGCCAAATGACACAAATCTGCCCATGATGTACAGCCAAAGATTTGCAGTAGTTCATCACACTTCAAATCCATTGTTTGGGGGAGGGGGCTTGGACTCATGTTACAGTGGGGCTTCTTTGATTGGCCGTGTGTCCAAATTACCTGGCTACGGCTGGCCACAATACACAAGTTTATCGGAAATGGCTTCACAGCTGCTAGCCAAAGACTTCCACAGGTACTTGTGTCATTCTGAGCCATAGCCAAGTCATTCGTAGATGGCCTGTATTTCCATATTTGCAATTTTCCTCGTGTCTGTAATGGAATCCACTCAGGAAGAAAAGAACAAATGTATTCAAGCCACCATTTTGTCACAGCTAGCTGGAGGGAACTTAAAGCCATCTTTATGGCGATGGAAAGTGAATTACCGCAGGTTGAAGTGGCAGATCCAGGATTTTAAGAAAGTTTTTTTGGGGGGGGGCACAACCTTGAGGTTAATTTGTGCAAGCAATGCAGTGTGGAGCACCATGGTGGCATTGTAGCTGAGTCTATCATGAGTCCTTGCGTTAGAAGTCCTCAAGTCTATCACAAGCTATCAAGTGCTCAAGTCAAAAACTGTTCAAATGAGCTCTGACTAAAGCACTGCTTTGTCACTGTCTACTCTGTGACTTGCGACTGGCCTTGTGAAAGGACGTTTTGACTAGATTTATGACCAGACTTGCCAGAAGGATTTCTGATGGACTCAGCTCAACACTGCATCTTGGTTGACATCCTCAGCACTCACTTTCTGCTGTCACACCTCTGACAATCCACTAACACAAAACAGCCCCCCCAACTTACCAGTGGTCTTTCCTCTTTGTTGCTTCAGTCGGTGCCATTTGCGTCAGTGGGATGTACACCATCACATTCCTGAAGATGATCTCGTACTCGGCGGTCAACAGATGGTGTCGGGAGGCCTTGCAGGCAGAGAAAGCTGTCCGGAGGCAGAGCTCCAAGGGGGGAAGAGACAAGAGGAGAAACAGCAAGCAAAAGAGCAAGAAAGAAGGTGAGTTGCAAGAGGATTTCAAAAAAATTTGAAAGTTTTTCATGGGGTTGGTCACACTGGTGTATAGAGCACTCGCAACTGCCCACTGGGCTTGCTTCTGGACCTGTTAGAGGGAATTTGTTAGTTGATGCTCTCCCCTGCCACGAGGGTTTTTTGTTCAAGCTGTATGGAAGTCCTCCCTGATTAAATCGACACCCTGACCTCTGGCTGTGCTTCAGGGTCAAATATGGGTCGTTTGGCAGCTGCCTGAAGCAGCTTGAGATGCCACTGGCTGAACCATATTGTGGCTGTGTCCATGAGGTAAAGGCATGTGCATCTCGTGTGTTGATTAGGATGCATGATTTAAACAAGCAACAGTAACAGCCATTGCCATTGGCAAAGTGTTATAAATGAAGAATTTAGTTATCAACCTGTTCCAATTGTCATTTGGAACAGCCTAATTGTAACAGTTTATGCAACATAGTTTGAATGGCTTGTTTTCTAGACCGTATGTATCTTTTTAAAATTACTCTACCTCACTTGTCCCTTGATCCATCGTTTGATTCATTGATCCATCCTCCACTGCACTACACAACATACATTTTTTTGCCCACTCTGTCATTGACAATGTGCTTTGTTGGTTTAGCCAACAGTAACATGGAATCAAAAGAAGCTGTCACGTCCCAGGAGAACGGTTTCGTTACAATTGAGCAGAGTCAGCTGGTCAAGTACCCAGACAATCTCAATTTTAAAGGTGAGAAGCAGGAGAGCTTGAGTTGGGAGAAACTTTCCAGACATACATATGTGCCAAAGCTTTAATGGCTTGCTATTTTGTGGTTTATTCCGCATGCGGGAAGAACCTGCGTAGCCCTAGGAAAGTTAAAACAATACGACTTGTAAAAACAGAATACTAACTGCCTGACAAGTGAGTTTCCTTAGACTATATCAGTTAATGTTACATCATGCTTTGCCTCTCCTTTTTTTTTTGATTGAGAAATACATGCATACTGTATTTACCCACACAAATTGTAAGATCATTAAACTTGTAAAGAAGGATTTCTTCCAAGGAAAATGTCATCCAGACCGATTTTGTGGAGTCACTTTTCTCATTTTTTTAATGATAACTTGTTTAGCATTTTTACAGTATCTCTCAATAAATAGTTGTCTGACAAGCGTGTCTTTACCACAAAGATTCCTAAACTTGTCCTAAAAAGCAACATTGTTTGGAGACTCATTAAAGAAAAAAGAAGAAGTCTGTGCGCTGCAAATTGAAGGCACGGACTGAGCTCAGCTTGGATGTATAACTGCTCTTTGATATCTGAAGGTCTACAAATACATGTACCCGTCGTCATTCTACTTTTTCTCCTGGCAGATCTCTACTATTTTGCCCTTGCCCCTACCCTGTGCTATGAGCTCAACTTCCCCAGAAGTCCCAGGATTCGAAAGCGGTTCCTGGCGCGCCGCATCATTGAGCTGGTGAGTCCATCGCCACTTCCCAACAGAACTTCAGTGGATTTCTCCTTTTTTTCCCCCTCAAAAGGTCAAAGAAGAGTTTGCAGCTAGTGAAACGAGGCTTTTGTTTCACAAGTATCTGTGAGTAATTTCTTTGTCCGGCCCAGCTCTCAGTGTTTTTTGTGATACCTCGCCACCTAGAAATTCAATCTGTAGATTTGTCGCTATTGTCACACACTCTTAAGAAAAAAAAAGTACACCATGGCTACTTCATTCTGAAAGTACTCTACTCAATGTAGCAACCAAAAGGGAGCTTTAGAATTGCAGAAATGACTTCTTAATTGTTTCCAATTAGCCTTTCACAAATTAAATTGGAATAAAATCTGGTACACTGAGTTACCTGATTGCACATAAACAATTTGAGTTCCCGATACTAAAGACACTGTTGCTATACCTCGTGATTTTGGACAAGGTATTTCATAGCAACCACCATCTCTGGAATGACTGGTTCCTTTGTGCCCTTCATATCCATTGAAAACAACTTGTATTGGTGCAAGGCGTCTCTTATGTGACAAACCAAATGCTTGGTCTGGAGCACGAGGTATAGCAACACGGTGTTCAGTATGGGGAAATCAAATTGTTATGTTCATGAAAATTTTAAAAAACTTGGCGTACCAGATTTTATTCAAATTTAATTCGCAAAAGGCCAATTGAAATACATCTACAGTGGAGATGTTATTATAGATGTCATAACACTTGTCTTTCTTCTGCAGTTATTCTTGGTGCACCTTAGCTTGGGACTCATTCAGCAGGTAAATCAACTGTTATGATTTAAGTGATGATAGCTTTCATGGTGTCTCCGTAAGATGTCATAAAATTTTTATAAATCAGTCACTAAAAAGACCCACCCAAACCATTCTTGAAATCTTCAACTTATTGGTTTGAGGTGCCTTGTTAAAGTTCAGAAGTTCATTTGATAGCCCTTGAAAAAAAAAGTAAATACTTGGTTCAGTCCAAAGTAACTTATTTGACAATGATATATGTACTGATGTTTATCAGCATAGTTGTGCCCTGAAACAACTATTTTAGTCATCCCTTGAATTGTTGGGCAAATGTGGACTCAAGAACTAAGAACAGTTTGAGAAAAAAGCCTTTTTTGATTATCAAAAAGACATGAGAAATGTTGAATAATGCTTTATTACTCTTTTCCACTATACAGGCGTTTTATGTTGACAGTAGCTTCAGCAGTTGCTCTGTTTGTTCGCCTGCATTGCACTTTTTAACCAAATACCCTCCCCCCCAGAATAATTGCTAGAAACTTCTCAGACTCCCCTGAAATCGGAAACCTTGCAGGAACCTGAGATACATTCTTTGACAGTTAGTGAAAGCTGATAGAATCTACCTTCCTAAACCCTTCTAAATCTTCTTCAAACTTCAAAGTTGCTTTTTGAAAGATCTGAGAAGTTCAGGGTTATTATGCCATACTGGCATTGCCTAATTAACATTTGCTTGTGTAGTAAGTTTAAATCGTAGCTCATAATCGTGTTTCTTGATTTTATTTCTCACTATTGTTCCTTACTTTTGTTTTTTAGTGGATCGTGCCAACAGTGATGAATGCCATGAAACCATTTTCTGTAAGTGTTTAGTCAATATTTCTTTTGAGATCAAGATGGTCAGAATGACCAATGTTTAGTTTGTGTTAAATGTTGATGTTCTCATTTATAGCCAAAAGTAGTCACAAGTCACAAACGTAATCTTGAATCCTTGATTTTTGTTGGACATGAGGCAGCTTTTCCTTCCAATAATTTGGGAAACTCTTACACGGCTTTGTCATCAGGGGCGCTACTTCAACAGATCAGTTTGACCCCAGGTTTATCGTTGACCTTATCACTGACTTTTGACCCCTATCAGGAAATGGACTTGACAAGGATGGTGGAGCGAATTCTCAAGTTGGCAGTGAGTATCTTTCTACTTGTCCTGTAGTTAGTAGACAGTACATAGATTCAAGAGAGAGAACTTGAGGTCATAGAGTTCATACAAACCAGCACATTTATTTGGCTTGCTCGGGAGAATTCAGTTGCTCACTGCTGTAATAATGTCTGACCATTTGGTTCAACCTGTTGCCAGCCTAATTTCAGTGGCACTATATTCTGGAAGCTTTCTGACAGCTCATAAGAAAACCCTAAACAAGCTTAGTAGAGCGGGACTGCTTACAATTCATATCTTACTCCGCTCGGCCACTGAGCTTGTGTGGGTCAGCTCCCTGTTTGAATCCAATATAAACTGATCGCACCAAAATCAGAAACCATTTCTGTGGTGGTGCCAAGCTCACGCACAGATTGCATGCGCGCATTACATACCTCTTCGGCCAATGGGGTGCTGTGACTGCAAACTACTAGTACACGTGCCCTGCATGTCACTGAATGCTGGTACAATCACATGATCGGTGCTCACCATTTAAAAGTTGTGATCTATGATTGTGGTCTGACAACGTCGTTTATTCATTCACTTGATCAAAATATTTCAACAGGAGGAGAAACGTTCAATAAGATAAA